AAAACCAATTTGCAGTCCCGGGAACCTCCAAGAAACTATTGCTACCAGAATTGTTACCAGAATTGTTACCAGAATTGCTACCATCTTGCGACTAAAATTGCTACCATCTGGTAGCAATTATGGTAGCAATCTGGTAGCAATTCTAGTCGGAATCTGGTAGCTACCATTTTACCATAAATATTTTCTATTATAATTAGATTCTCTGAGCCCCCTCCCCAAAGTTTCAGTCGCCAGCAAGTTACCATTCTTATTGCCTGACTATTGCCTGGTAGCATGCCCGCCGTGGTAAAATAGTCAATGATGATCGTCCCAGAGAGCAAAAAGTTTTAATTTGAAGTTCTAAACTTCGATTTGAAGTTAAGAACTTCACGTAGAAAGTCTACTAGGTTCTACTGARMTAGTTTTTGGATGGCATTCAYGATTGATTCATGATTGAATCAYCTCATGACCATTTAAAATYGCCCTGAACCATTTTTTTGTTTTGAGGGGAATCGTGATTCATCCATTCAGTCATTTTAAAAAATTAGCTCAGTAGAACCTGGTACATGATGTACAAGCAAAAGTTCATAACTTCAAATTGAAGTTTAGAACTTCAAATTATTACTTTTTGCTCTCTGGGCAAGACCGTGTGCAATTGTTACTTACTTGTGATCACGGTAGTAGGAAGTACCTCACAACGAAAGCAGTAAGCGCTAATGAAAAATTTTAAGTACGAGGTTGTGGTGTGAAATATCGCGTCCGATTTATAACAGGTTATGAGTCAAGTTTTTGCGAGCCATTTTTAGTAACCAGGAGCAAGCTTTGCATGCTTGTTAGTGCTACCAAAGCACCAATCAGATTTAGAGAATCCGTTGGCTGGAAAGGGTTTTCTTTTCTCTTTCCATTGATGTGCACATTACTGGGTGTTCCTTTCAGAAAACCTATTCGGGCTTGTTGATTTCTCTCCGCACCGAAAAATGCAAAAAACTCTCATTTATTCAACCTCAACATAGGGACCTGTCACCTCTTTAGTTCAACACTTTAACCAACACTATCAGCGCGATTGACATACAGGATCACTTCATTACATCAAGGGGAAGGGGACCGTGAAGTAGCGGATCGATCGACCGAGTGGTTTAGGAGCAACAGTACATCCAAGCTGTACAGCTAAAATATCAACGAAAAATCGCATCGACGAACTCCACAGTGTAACTAAAACGAATCAACCTTCCCCCTCTTAACAAAGACAACCAGTGTGTCTGACGTCCTTAATACATCAAAGGAGACTTGATCCCGAAGTATCGTTGCAATTGACCAGGTATTTGGAAAGAAAAAGCATTTTTCCCTGTATTTTGAGTGTATTTTGGCTCTGAAATGAACAATAACACTATCAACAGCTGCAAAAGCAACACCACCATCACCACGGCAGCTATTGGATCAGTTCCGAATGGATACTCGGTTGCGCCGTGTCCTAGGACTCTTGCTGCTGGTTTGAACCTATTCAATATGAGGAACCAGGGGTTGCATTGCACTGTGAAAGGAGCTATGGAATTCACAGGCTTCTCAAGTGAGGAGGCAAGCAACAAAACCCTGCAAAGAAGAGTACAGAGATGCTCTGAAAGGATTAAGGCGCCGCCCTGTGAGTATGTTGCCCCACCATTGCCACCAACAAAGGTCTCCAGTATCACCACAGATGAAGAAGAAAGAAAGAATCCCCCCCCCCCTTGTCTGATATTACAAACAATAACAACAAGAAGCGACCCAAGGAAAAACAAATGCTGGATAAGGAGAACAAGAAGCTGAAAAAGCATAAGGAAAAAAAGGATACAGCTTCACAGTCGCATGCAAGACTAAAGAAGGATTACAAGGATGCTGAGGTTGAAAGGAAGGCCTACATGGCGGTTATTTCGAAGGTGAAGTATCAACGAGCAAATTTGAAAAAGCAACTGCATACGTCCATTGCGAAAATTGTGAGGGAGACGAATATGATTTATCAGGCTAATATAAAACCAGATACGGTGCGGAGACGGCTTCGCTTGGGCTTGGAAGAAACCCCCCCTAAAAAGGGGCGAAGGGCGGTTCTTCCTGAAAAGATTGAAACGGCTTTTATCAATGCAATGACGTCTTGGGTGAATCTCGGCTGTTCAGATATGAACGTTCAACCTCGTCGCCCAGAGCTACTCCAAATGCTACTTGCGTGCCTTGAGAGTGGACCAACGGTACTCCAAGACCAGCATTCCCTGTTCAAACGACTGTACAAAGTGGTTTGCGATAAAGTGAAAGTTGTGACGGGTAATTCAAGAATGGAAGAACGACGTGCCCAGTGGACAACGTATAATAAGATTAACACCTTCTTTGATTCACTACGTGAAAAGCTTGTCGACCTTGGATTTGCTCGAGTTAGAATGGATGGTGAAGACGGTGAAGGTGAACTGGTGTTTCTTCCGAACCAGTTGAATCGTATTGTTAATCTTGACGAGAGTGGTTTGACTTTGGACGGCTGTTCATATCTTGCTGGTGGTCGACAACCTACTCKGTATGGGCCTGCAAGCAAGAATATTGCCTGCGGTGCTGATCGCACGAACAAGAGCAGCTCGCGAATCACTCTTGTAGCTGGAAGCAATGCGGCTGGATATCCTCTCGTCCCTCACTTCCAACTAAAATCGACAGCAAAGGAGGAAGACGACAAGAGGATACATGCAGCTTTTATTGACGGTGTCCCAAAAACGGAGGGTATCTATGGTCGCGTTGGGCGRGTTGAAAATGGTATTACDGTCAACTGTAACGAGACTGCAGGAATGAACGCTGAACAATTTTTGAAATATATCRAAGACAACGTWATGARGCTTTCGTTTCCTGATGCSGCTGATATTCYRGGACRGCRAGTCCTTTTGATCCTTGACAGTGGTCCAGGAAGAAAATACGAAGAGTTGCTGGTGAAGCTTCGTGCAAAGGGTTTTTATCTTCTTCCTGGCGTGCCAAATTCAACGCATGTCACTCAGCCAACCGACAGAAACTACGGTCCGTTCAAATCGACGTACAGACAAAATTTGGAAAAGCTGGTGTTGCACCGTCGAAAAAATGGGGAGAAGGTCCGCCAGACCGATTTTCCACTACTCGTTTTTGGTAAGCGGAAAAATTGGTACGAACCGGTACATCTTGAGCACGCCTTCCACGAAGCCTTTGCGGTTGAGAAGACAAAGGCAGTATGGGCCAAGATCGGCATTGTGCCTTTTACGCGACGGTGCCTCGACGACCAGAAAGTTGCTCATGAATTAGTTATGCTCCCCGACGGTAGCATTGATATTGACGCTGATCCTAAGACAGCTGAGCTTGTTGAATGGGAACAAGTGAATGGTACGGCAATTCAAGTACTGAATGAAGCTGGATTTAATGGTGAGATTTACCGAATGTATGCTCCAAGAAGGCTATCAGCTTCTGCAACACCAGTGACAAAAGCTGGGACGAGGGAACGGCAAAATGCGATTGGCACTGTAAAATACTCTAGTGAGCATTTTATTAGGACCAAAGGCGATACACTGAACAGTGACGACTACTTCATTGCTGAAGAACGGAAGAGGCGACAACAGCTTGTWAAGGATCTGGAAACAGCRAAGAAGAAATCCCAAGCAGTTWGTGAGTTGAATGCRAAGGCGACTGCGGTGATTCAGGAATTGGTATCRAAGGGGAAAGATATTTACAAGGAGGAAGATGCCAAGTCACTTCCAGTCTCAACACTCAAATTGTTGTGCCAGTGGAAACAGCAGAAGAAAATCCCTGCAAAGAAAGACAGTGTATTTGGTTTGTGGATGCAAGTCAGGAATCTCCCTTCTGCAGAGCCTTCCTGGAGGGACTCTGATGAAGCTCAAATGCAGAACCTGAAGGAAGAAGATATCACAATCAGGGAGACTGCATTAGGAAGGGAGAGAGTTAGGCAACAAGAGGATGCTATAAACTGCCTTGTAGCCATGACTGAGGAGGAAAGAACTGCTAGAAATCTTCCTTCTTCAGTTGTGGAGGCTCTAAAGGAAGTGGTTGGTGAAGTTGCTGAAGTGTAAGTGTAAGTGCAATTTATGTTAAGAGAAATCTGTTCTTGGAAGCGATTTCGATTTTGATTTTATTCCATGCAAATAAGCAGTGTCCGGATGTCGATGTCGTTTCGCCGACGTGAATTCTGAGAGGAAAAAAGCTCGAAGCTCGGAACGAGCTTCGAAAAATAAGAGTGAAGCCCAGTAGTTAGCGCCTTAGAGAGCGCTCCAGTAGTAAGCGCCTTAGAGAGCGCTCCAGTAGTAAGCGATTTATTTATTTTATGTTAAGAGAAATCTGTTCTTGGAATCGATTCCGATTTCGATTCTATTCCATGGTAATAACTAGTCTCCGGAAATCGTTTTCGTTTCGCCGATTTGATTTCTCAAAAAGTGAGCTCGGAAACCTCCGAAAATAGGAAATAATTCGATATAAAATAGTTCCTTTTTGGTTCCAGGTGGAACTAAGTGACAGCTTAGGCTCCAGGGTGTAAAATATCGCACTGTTCTTCACGTAGGCCTGTGTAGAAATAGTACCTGAAAAAGGCTGTCACGCGATATTTCACACCACAACCTTACTGTAGTAAACAATGATAATAGTACTATCAAGATACGTATATTGGTTCCATCCAATCAAAAGTTCCAAAGCATAGAAAGAACACAAAAGATAAGAAGATTTTTTGCGCGACTCCGGCAGAATTGTACCGTTGTGGGAACTTCATTCAGGAACAAGGCAAGATTCTTCGATCGTTCCAGCTAAACCCGTATCTGACGAATCTCATTTCGCCTTTCTCGTAACGTTACGTCTACCATCAAACTACGTACTGCACTCCTTCTGCCTGTTTTCTTCGATAACAACTCTTACCGTCATGGGCCAAATAATAATTTTTTCCTTTCATTTGGGTCGTACTGGAAATTGATACGACAGATGAGTAATGCAGCTCAGCAATAACGTTGACATATCACTGTAAGAATTTGACAATGGCAGGCAGAAATGCAACTTTGGATCTTTTATCTGTGGAATCATCGGATTCGATAGCTCGGATTGACGAGAACCCTATTCCAAATGCTGCAATTGGGATCGGAAATAGACCTAACCGTCGTCGCGTGTCGTCATTCGACATTAGTCTGCTTTCCGACCAGTCCATACGGAAGCGTGATCTTCATGAATTCTCGGTCCATTACAGCGTATCGACTTCAAGCTGGATAACTCGTATCGTCACTTTCCGAGGGGCAGCGGAAGAGAACGAGCGAAGATGTTTGAGTTTCTCTTTCTCAAAAGAAAACGAGGCTAGAAAATTTGGGAAAGCTTACAGCCCTCCCAAAATGATGGTTGGTAGTATTCGATGTTTCTGTTGCTCGGCAAAATTTACGTCGAAGTGCACCTCCAACTACTGCAAGAATTGCGGTGTTCAAATTTGCGAAAAATGCTCTCGTCAGTGGGGTATCAGAATGATTCCTAAAACTTACTTGGGCGGTTTATTTAATGCGACTTCCAAAACTGTACGAGTCTGCAAATCTTGCGATTGGTTGACCAATGCATTTTGCATGGCTCTTCTGCAAGGACAATTCAACAATGCTGTAATAATTCATGAGAAAGGGAACATCAACCTGCGTTCCACATTCGCAGATATCCACCAGGAGGCCATGTGAGTTTGCATTGAATTCGGCTGTCCGCCTTGTTGTAAACTTCTTTCTTTCGCTGACAGTTGTTTTTTTCCTGCGATTTTTAGGTTTCCAATCCACTGTGCGGTGATGGGAGGCAACCTAGATATCGTGAAATGGCTTGTCGATGCTCACGGTTGCCCGCTTTCTGTGAAGAGCAAAACGAAGACAGGAATGGCACAATCAATCCAAACATCCAGGTCGCGGACGTTGATGGACCTAGTCATGACTGGAAGACCCAAAATTGACATTCTCGAGTTCTTGGTGAGCAAGAATATGAGCGTGATGGACACCAACGACCCGACCCTGGCTTCCAAGACATTGCAAACTCTCATGAGTAAAGACAACAATTTATTGCGCACCTCTGGATACGCAAACACTTGCTGCGATGCATCAGCCTCTACGATAGAGGATGCCTGCATCATTTGTTGCGAGCAATCGATGAACTGTGTCCTTGCTCCGTGTGGCCATCAGGTATGCTGTTCGGATTGTGGAAATCATTTATCCGAATGCCCAGTTTGCAAGCAGAGTTGCAGTGTTATGAGGATTTTCAAGAGCTAAACTAGCAGGGATGAATGCAGGGATCCAATACATCAACCTTACGAAATTGACACCTCACAACGGCAAGGATTCTCTTCGTCATAGTCATTTCATTGAATGGCAGACTTCTCGACACGATTTTCTTCTCGGTCACGCATTGAGTTTTTATACATTGTAATTTTGTTTCGGATTCAGATATCCTGAGGCTACGTAAAGCCACTGCGCAATTTAATCGCGTGACGTCCATTTTTGATTGAAAGTAATTAGTATGAATAAATTGCGAAAGAATTCCCCCATGTTGCTAGCGAAGTTTAAGTTTCAATGAAGGCATCACTATCCTGAAATTTGTTTTGTCTCTTGCACGCTCAATAGAAAGGAAAGAATAAGTCGTAAAAATGCCTACGAGTATAGTATTCTTTGAACTTTCACTGCATTGCGAGCAACATACACGATAGTTGCATAATGTCACTACGCGGTAGATTGGAATTGAAAAGAATTTTTACATCAACTGGAGAGGGCAAGTGATATACTTTGCAGAATGATACGGAAAAATAGTTTCAAATGACAGTCCCAAACACAAGAAAAGGATAATGCTTCATTCGAGAAAGAATGGAACGCGAGACACTCAGTAGTTCAACTTCTGAAGTTTTGCGTCCATAACCTTGTCGATGTTCACGAAGGGTGATAAGTCCTGCTTTGGCCTACCTCATATATCCCAGCTATGATTGTTCGTCGCATCTTTCTGCGGGTAAGATCGCAAGAACCGAATCGAGAGTCTGGAGCAATCTGTCAACAGGAAGATCCTTTTCGTCACTCAAGCGCATTCCTTTTTCAACAACGAGATATCTTATGATATCGATAGAATTTTTCGCCAATGCAATGCTTAATAAACTCCTAGAATCTGACGTGAGAATCGGAGTAAGGTTATTTGTATCATCGCTGGTGCTTATTGACCACAATTCGCATTGATTCTCGTCAACCAGCCATTTCAGTAGTGGTAAGCTCCCCCCTTCTACTGCGCACTAAAAAATAGAGGACATGAAAAATGAGAAACATCAAATTCAAAATAAAGCAGGCAAAGGCTGACTCTGCTTCATTGTACCGGTACTTACATGGACTGGATATCTAACGTTAGATCAGTTAGTGGAACAAAAGTATGAGGATAACAGTACGTAAAAGCTGAAAATGCGATCAAGTAGAGTACCACAAAAACTTACAACACTTCTCCGTCAATATCCGCAAACGGGGTCATCAGATCGACTTCATAGGTCTCATGTAGTCGAATTGCCCCATCAACATCGCCTTGCATGAGAGCCATCCTGAAAGCAGAGTCGTTAGAATTTGGGACGATTTTTGGGGGCGTACAAACCGTTGCGAGGGACACCACTTGCTGCTTTGCTGGGAGCGAAAAAGTCATGGACTTCTGACTTTTATTGGGACCATGTCGAGGGGCGGTCACTTTCCAGGACTGATCAGAGGAGTCGTACATCAATTCCGAATTAGATGATATGATTTCACTGCATGGTTTCTCGCGTATTATGGTTGATGATATCGTTTCGCCAGTTTGGTTTTCCGTTCCACAATATGCCTCCCTTGCAATCCGACTTGATGGCTAACGTTTGGCGAGGTCAAATGTAAATTAGACTCTTTTGGCGAAAACAATCCTGAGAATTCACTCCATTTCGAATGTATTAATAACTTACATTTTCCACCATTCGAGAACTAGATTCCCTTGTAGGTACGCCATCACTTTGCGGATGCATCATTGAATTCGAGATTTCCCGGGTACAAGCCTCGTTTGGATTGTTTCCAACAAGCTCTGCGGTTGCAACCGTTTCAGAAACATACTCAGAGGGATGGAAATGTTCGCTAATATCGCGTATTTCAGCCTGACCATTGCTACTCAAGTCAGTGCTTGCGACGGACGATACGGTGCATGACGATACTCTCTGTTCTGCATCCTTAGCGTTGCTTTCGTCCATTTCATCGTAATTCTCACGTAGTACATGCGCTTCTTCTGTTGGACTCCACGCATCTATAGTCGCTTTGTCCGAAGGGCCACTATCCAATACCATTGCCTCAGTCGCGTGTTCGGTCTCACTTATCTCCACTGCGTTTTCGATTCTATCTGCTTCATTTGAGGACGGGATGTTGGTAGATTCCGAGCTCCCCATATATTCTGCTTGGACTGATTGATTTGTTACCTCTAAAGGATTAATATTATAGCATGCAGCAATCGCAGCGTTGTTCACGCTCGCGATGGTATCTGAACTTCTGTTGCCATGTTGCTCTTGATATTCCGTAGCCGTCTCCTCGTGGTCTTGTGAATACGAGTTTTTCACATCCGAGTCGTCTGCAGACTGGAATGGATTCACTTCGCTTTCTTGCTGCAGTACCACTGCGTCAGTTGTGTGTTCTGACCAATTGTCTAGTGTCGCCTTTTCTGGATCTCCACTTTCGATAACGGTTGCTTCGGTTGGAATTTCTTCATTGATACTTTGCCCAGAAACAGAAACAAGATTAGCGGCATCTTCAGGTTGCGACTCTACAGTGGCTTCGTGGCAAAGTGTATTGGTGACTGATGGCCGCTGCTCCTGATGATGCCGATCTTGTCCATAAATACCACGGGCGTTCTCTGTTTGGTCCACTAGTTCTGCTTGTACAGCGGACTCACGCTCAAATGGATGGATTGTTCCACAATCAAGAATTGTAGCCTCCGCCTCAGGCCCAGTAGAAGCTGTTGCAATAATAGATGCTCTTGCTTCCGATCCCGGGTGGCGAGTTCCGTCAACGTTATTTTCAAAATTGTACGCAGCCAATTTCTGAACAAGCAACTCGTCGTCATCATTATCGGTGCGGTGTTCACGTGGAATGTAACTATTAAAGTCTTCGCCTCGTGACATTCTAGCGGCTGACGCAAATGGCGCAAAAGTATCGACATTACTCTCTCTATCCGAAGCAGTGGTGTTTGTATTTGAAGAAGCCTTCACCGAATTGTTTGATAAAATTGATCCCCTTCTGTAGTTGATGTCATGCACATCAGCAATTCCTGCAAATCGTTTGTCATTTGGCATGCAAGCTCGGGGCATACAAGCTTCGGGCGTGCAAGCTTGGGGCATGCGAGCTTGGGTAGTTGCAGGTGAAGACGGGCTATCGGAGGCCGCCCTCTTTTTCTCTGACACTGCCGAACCTTCCCACTGTATTTCTGGATCAAATGCTTTTGGGAATTGATTCGCCAGTCCTTCCAGGGAAGGGTACAGAGAAGCAGGCTTGGACTGCTGACTATTGGAGGGCGTCTTCTTTTTCATTGAAATGTTTGAATTCTCCCATGGTTTTTCCGAATGAAAGTATTTGGAACATTCTTTCGTCAGTCCTTCCAAAGAAGGATAGAACGAAGCAGATAGAGAGGAACTCTTGGGTAACAAAGAACTACGTCCAAGTGATGTCGCCGACGATCTTTTATATTCGAGACAAGCTTGAAAGACCTCATGGGGATCATCCAGCTGGTGATAATGCATTATCGGGGTCTTCATCCCTTCATTTGGGGACGTGGTACGCCGGAAATTGACTGCGGTGTCGAAGCTATTTCTCTGAGCTGTCTTCCTTTTGATCGACGTTCAATGCATACAACTCAACTTCGACCCTTTCGGGAGGTGACTATTCTTTCCTTGTTTCCTCTCATTGGGTGATTCCCGTTAATCTAGATGGTCTACTTTTTGACAGACAGTCAGACCAAAAATAGACCATAGTCCTAATTTTTTTACTTTCTGTCAACGCTCAACTCACCCTTGACAGAAAGTCTAAATCTAGACTGGAATCCAAGAATGAAAATCCATTGAAAGACTCAACTGAAAAGACCCGCCAAACTTAAGACTGAATAAATTTACTAAGAGAAGGCGCATTAGGCACCAGCGCTATGATCATCATAAAGCAGACAACGACAAAAACAATGTCCCCTGTCTTGGTCGCTACTCTATGCATTAGATTGAAACAAAAAGAGGTGCAACTGTTGGAGGCCTTGTCTCAAGGGCCAGGCATTGATACAAGGAAAGGGTGGGGGGGATCCCTCTCACAATATTCATTCCACGAGCAAAGATGTTGACTGGTCCTTCTTATGCTACCATTCCTCCCTGTAATGGAGACCGATTGCCTCCACCAGCGCCTCTGCCAGTGCCTCCCCAAGGAGGGCAATCAAAAGTAGAGGGGCTGGGCTGTAAGGCTGGTACTGCAAACTATTCAGAAGACGAGCTCATCTTGTTGATGACTCTCATCAAGGAGATCCTCCCCATTGGTAAGGGTGACTGGCTCATGGTGGTTTACATACCACATGGACAGAGCTATCCTGTTGTCCGTAGGATATCAGACCGTGGGTATGATTCATACATACGACACATACATACGATACGTATCTACGATTCATACACAC